AAACATTAGAAATAATCGTGAAATTTTATTGTTTTTATTTACCACTTGGAAAATATTAAATACAAAAACTAAGAATGATAGAGGAAAGAGAAATGTAACAAATTACTGTAATTGGAATATGGGGAAAAATATATTAAAAAATGTCACAAAATTTGAGTACTTGTATGGTGGACAAAGCTATAGATACAAGTGCCATGCCATGTTTTATGGAGGGCGTTCGTTGCCAAAATTCCAGACATGTAAAGTGTTCCTTTTTAAAATGGCTTTTGAAAATGCGAACTTGTATGCCTATCATTTTTATTGTATGCCTCTTAATTCAATCTTTTAATTGAAGGTTACCGCCTTTATATAACAAGTTTACATATATATCGTAACAACTGACCTAACATCTAAAACGACAACAAATTTACAAGTTCGTATCTTCCATTGCATGCAATACATACGCATGTTTGCACACTTATAGATCTGTAATATACAAATGAAATGTAAAACTCGAATACGGAAAGTAGAGTTTAAAAAAACGTGTTACCAGTTGTAGAACTACAAGAGTACGTTAACACAGTAACATGTTTAAAATGACAAAAGTAGATTCACAAAGTTAAACGATTTTAAGTCAAGCATAACGCCCCGCCCCTCTCGGAGTATTTACGACCTTCTATTGTGGACAGGTATAAAACGGCTCCTCTCCCATATTTTAAATAAAACTGAAGGACAACATACGGCATTTTTTATAACATATATATGTTACATTTGTTACAAAAGTTTTGTCACTAGCAACATCACTTGAAAATTGCTGATTTTACCATTTATGATGAAGATAACTTGTGCATTACCTTATTATTTAACATCGTGTTCTTATCAGTTACAAATTATTTATCATTTTAGTGATTAGCCTGTCCGTGCTATGCCTAGTGCCCTGCCCTGTGTTTTGTTTGGGGTCCGCCTGGGCTTCTTGCCACTTGTTCTTGTTGCTGGGTCATGTAAGGTTGCGTTCATTGAGCGCCGCCTTTCCTTGTTGATCTTGTTTATCATAATTCCTGAGAAACATTGGCGATTTGGAAATTTTTTAGGGGAAACAATGACCAGCTTCAAGGGAGTTATTGAATTGATAATGTAAAAACCATTCAATATTCTTATTGGTATCATTGAGAAATGTATTGGCACAAATTTCACTTTCAACAAAAACTGTGCAAGTATTTGCAAAAATATGATTTTAAAGCGGCCACCGAGATTTCCTTTCCGAAATCAAGAAAATACTTATCCGTAGCACATATGTACAATCTTTAATAAGGCCTTTTCAGTATGAATAAAAACGTTTTGCACTCGTTCATTATCCCTCATGTACAGACTCAAACAAACCGAAGTCTGCAATTCTTATGTAATTTTGTAGTGATTAATGCTTCCGAGGGATCATTTTGTTTCCAGATTTTAATACTTCACAACAGCAGGTGCCAAGTGCCGTGTGGCAGCTGTAAAAAAGTTTCCCCGTAATTCACTTCAGTGTTTTTCTGGTCCTTCGGGATCATTGATGCCAGCGCTATTAAGTAATGAGAATAGAGTACCGTTCAAGCCGGTGCTAGGGGGCGTGAGGGATGTTGCACTTGTTCATTATCCCTCATGTGCAGACTCAATCCAACCGAATCTGCAATTCTTATGTAATTTTGTTGTGATTAATGCTTCCGAGGGAACACTATAATTCCAGATTTTTAATATACTTGTTCAAAGCTTATGGTCTTAAATATCATTCAATATTCAATTTCCTTTTTGAATAAAGTATCTAAAGAAAGCGACGATATTTTTTTCCGAATATATGAGTGTGGATTTAAGAGAGAAAAAAATAAACAACGATAAGTTAGAAACAATTTATTTTTAATACTTCTACATAATTAATTTTCATTTTAAGGCATCACTAGAAAGTTCATAAATGATTCTTTTACTTGAGTCTAAAATTATCAACGCCGCCTTTCCTTGATGATCTTGTTTATTATCAAAATTGACCAAGAAATAAAAAAAGTAAGTAGGGGGCGCCATGTTTTTCTTACTGAATTTCAGAGTGTGTGTGTTTTTTTTTTACTTGGGGATCATATGCCGTTTTCCATGGTATGGCACTTACGTGTCACATTGAAGGTTCCATGATAATCGCCACATTAACACATCTGCGAATGTTTCAAAATTGAACCAGTTCATGTTGAATTTTGCTTAAGCCGGTGCTAGGGGGCGTGGACGATAACTTGCTCTTTCCATTACCGTCCATGAGCAGGCTCAATCAAACCAGGCCTGCAACATTCTCAATTTTGTCGTTTTGAGCGTTCTTTAGGGATTCTTATTTTCTCTATTTTACAGAAAGTAACATGATAAACTTTTTAACGAAAGTTAATTCAGTTTGATTTAATTCATTTTTATTTTTAGGCATTATATAATTATATATCATAAATCGTATGAAGCACACTTTTATTTCAATCCATAATTATCAAAATATATTACGAACTTAAAAAAAGTTTGGAGGGAACGCCGTGTTTTTCTTATCAATTCGAGAGTGTTATTTTCAGAGTAAAAAAACCCCTGAAAATTCCTTACATCTATTTAATTCATTTTTATTTCCGAGGCATTCATAGAAAGCTTATGGAGTAATCTTTCATTTGATACCAATAATATTGGACTTTTTATAGAAATAAAAAAAAGTTAGAATGGACGCCGTGTTTTCCTTCACTTTATTGAGAAATAGGAGAGAGGCGACGGGTATTATACCTGTCCGTACATTTCCGTGATAGAAGATCGTAAATACTCAGAGAGAGGCGGGGCGTCATGCATGACTTAGAATCGTCTAACTTTGTGAATCTACTTTTGTAATTTTAAACATGTAACTGAGTAAACGTACTGTTGTAGTTCTGCGACTCGAACACGTTTTATTAAATTATATTTTCTGCATTCGAGTTTTACTTTTCATTTGTGTTTTTCAGGTACAGATATATATCTACAAGTGTGTAAACATGCTTTTGTATTATATGCAATGGTAGATACGAACTTGTAAATGTGTTGTTGTTCACCATGTTAGGTCAGTTGTTAAGATTTACATGTAAACTTGTTATTTAAAAGCGGGTACCTTCAATTAAAAGATTGGATTAAGAGGCATATCATTTGCTGTGCACGAATGCAATAAAAAATGCTAGACATACATGTTCGCATTTTCAAAAGTAGTTTTCAAAATGAACACATTACATGTCTTGAATTATGGCAACGATCGCCCTCCATAATGTTTAATTATAAAGAGCTGCAAAAGCTTTTCTTTGACAACTTAGAGATATCACCTTACTTTATGCAAAATGTTCTAAAAGTTAATTAGGATTATACTTGAAAACCTGACTTGCAATATTTTTTCAGATTATCAATTTATTAATGCTATCAACATTAAATAAAAACATATAATTCTATGAAAGTATTGGATTTGAATTTGCAACCAGCACAGACTAATATCAACTGACACACAACTGTGCCAGCTTGTTTATATGCGTATACACTCTGCAGCTTGGACAATAAGACCCTTCCAACCATGTTGGCAATTAAGTGTGTGGTTCGATCAACTGGCAAGGGTGCCTGCAGATCTGGTCTACACTTGTCAACATGGCCTGAAACGTTTGTTTCCAGCACTATTAGGGTTCAACCAGTATTTCATAGAGTTTGTTAAGAAAAAAGTTCAACAAGTCTACAATTAATGCTAATAGAACATTATCATATGTTTGACATCACAGGATTGTAATAAAGTCATTACAAAAAAATTATTATACACTAGTGTAATAAAGATTTGACGTCAATGTCGTTTAAAGTATTGGAAGTGTTGATTAAGTTGGCTTGTTAAAATAGTAAAAGAAAGAATAATTTTCAATGTTTTGACAGGAAATCTAACATGTGATAAAAGAATATTACATTTGCGACTTTCCAAATTGCATTAATTAAAACTTTTAAAATGCTCGACAGAGCCTCACATTTTATTTTCTTTATTCAACTTATATGATAAATTCAATATGAAAATACAATTATGTCATATCTTCCATGTAAATGCATACTGCTACTTGAATGTTACTTATGTGTCTGATAATTTTTGTGCCGTGGCACAAACAACTAGATTCTCTTTATCTTAATAGGACGCTTCAGGGTAAAAATGTCACTCCATTCAATCGTCCCTTTCTTGTTTGTAGTTTGGTTTTCTTTGAATCCCCTGTAAAAAAATGACAAAACATTACTTTACTCTGCATTTAAAGCAACATTTAAAATGGACTTTTTGTTAAATTCAAGGGCAGATAATTTACAATGAAGAGAATTAATACATTTTTTTTCTTATTTTCATCAAGCTTACCTTCATTTTAGTTGATATGCAAAATTTCAAGAACAAATTTAGAGTGGGTAGTTTTTATTCCCACTTCTTCTGTGCATTTTTTCTTAAAAAATGGCCTTTTTTTTAAGGATTTAAAGTACCTTTATTTTCATTGAAAAAAAGTTAATAGAAACAATGTAAGGAATTGCATATTATTATGTATTGTACTCAAAAATAAAAAGAAAAAGCATTTAATCCAGAAGTAAAAACAAAGAATTCATTTTAGTATTGTTTTAAGTTTTCTGCCCCGGAAAAAGACCCCAAATAAGTTGAAAAGTCGGGCAAATTTCCCCCGCGAATTTTTGGAAAGGGATTTTTAGGGAAGGTTCTGTTTTAAATAAAAAATATGTTTAAAACTATTTAGTTTTGGGAAATTTTTAAGTTAAAATGTCTTCCCAAAATTTTTTTTTTCACTGAAAAAGGGAAATCACTTTAGGGTCGGGGTGACTGGGCTTTAAATTTTACTAAAATCTAATAATGTTTTTAAGTTTCTGACATTTTTGAAGTTGGGCGGTAAAAAATAATTTAACCTTTAAAAAAAAAGTTTTCAAAATGTGCAGAGGGTTTTTGCTATATTTGTATGATAAGAATTAAGGAAAAAAACAACTTATTTAATGTTACGCCGCTTTTTTTTTTGGAATTTTTTAAGAAATTGTGTACAGTAGTCTTCAGACCTCGCTGTAATCACTGTCTGGAAAAACTTTGTAAAATTGCACATCGGAGTACCTCTGTGTTGCACTGCTCTACTACCCTTGAATGGAAGAGAAAAATATTGTTTAAACAATTTATTGTGGGTAAAGGGTTTAATGCTACTTCCAACAACAATTTAGTCATATCACGACGGCAGTAAATACTTGCCCTGCTACTAAGTTTACCAGGTATACTAGTAAATATTAACTTGCACTACAGAATTTTAATATTGGTTAATGTCACATATAATAATGCAATACATGGCACCAAAGTAAATATTAAAGGCCAGGAGGTCTTCTGCACAAAAAAGCATTTAGCCATCCCAACAGTAGAGACTTGTGAATAATTCCATTGTTCAAATTGAATATTATATTAAAGTCATGAAAATGTAGACTTCTTCATGTTTCCAATGGGCTTTTTTAAAAATATTTCTGACTGTATTGTTATTTAAAAACAATTATTGGAATCCTATCAAGTTATATTCACTGATAGACATGACAATATGTATAATATCAATTTAGTATCAAATCTGAAGAATCCATTTCATATATAAACATGTGTATACATGTACATGTACCTTGTTAGAACCTGAGCTCCTTAATTTCACTGAAGCATTCATACTATCCCTCTGTCCACCTGCAACACATGGGAGATAAATGCTATAATACTTCAATAGTAAGTAAATAATAAATATTTACATTAAAATAAGCAACTTCTCATTTCATAATTATATGAATGAAACAGAGACACTGTTCCCTGGGTTTTAAATCAAGCTAAAAATGATTATGTTACTTAAAATATGGAATTTAAAATTGCATACACAACCCTAAACCAAGTCTAGCACTGCTGCAAACATAGACTTGCAAAGGATAAAATTCCTCCAGTTATTCAAATAATCTTAAGTTCGAATACATTTTAATATGAATACAAACTTTTAGATTTGTCCTCAGCTGTACAGGTGTCAGAGGTTCTAGAGATATGACCTTGTAGACATGGTGTTGGCTTACTTGATGGGTTTGATCTGCATACATCTCTCTGAAAGCAGTACAAATTTATTTACAGATAATTTAAATTTGCATTCTGTAGGCCTACATATGATTGATAAATACAATCATTCACAATAAAGTAATAAAAATATGTGTGTAATGTAATCTATTATAGCTCATATGATTTATTAACTATATTGCCTTATGTGGCATCAGAAGGTAACACTCTGTAATGTCCCATGCAAACAACTTATATGGCACCAGACAGTATTGAACAAGATATAACAATGGTCGTAGGACAGGGCGGACCATGAGACAGGGCAAACCATACCAGGACGGACCATATGTTTGGAAAGGGCGGACCATATCTTGGAAAGGGTGGACCATGACTCGAGATGAGGTGGACCATAATTTATTTCAAATTTAATTCTGCTATTTCATTTATTTTATTTTTTTATCTTTTAATATCAATGTTATCAAAAACAAAAAAATGTTTAAAAAAATAAATTAATATAATTTTATACTAGTACATGTATACAATGTATATTACAGTGAATACTTAGTCAGAGTATTAACATTTACAGTACCCTTGCAATTATAAGTATAAAATAGGTAGGGTAAGATAGTGGGAATGGATTGAAAAAATCTTATAAGTAAAACATATTTTCGTTCTGCACTGAAGTTAATAAACTTGACAAAATTACTTTAATTGTAATATTTTTTTATATAATCCATTCATAACATTTAAGTTTTATAAAGGAAAAATGATTATTTATACAGTAAAAACTCTGAAAACCGGACCCTCTCCGGACTTAACCAAAAGTCTGGTTTTCAGAGGTTTTCGGTTTTTAGAGGTTTTATACTTTAAAGATCCTGTCACACATTTTTTTCATGGTTTTATTTCATAAATATGATGCTCAGATTAAGATCTGTCAATATTGTAAGTTCCAACAAGCATTATTTATAAAGATATTACCGAATTTAACATTTCATGTAAATAAAGGGAGGTAATTATAAATTGATTTTCAATAAATATTAAGTCAAATTTTCCAATAAGAAAAGAATGCATGTAATTTATTGATTAAATATAATGTGCACAAATATTTGCAGTACTAATTTTACATATTCTTCGATGTTTGAAAATTGTTTTATTTGCATAATTATATACATATATAAATTTTTGCAAGTGTAGTATACACACAGTGACAATATCAATCAAAAAACATACAGGATCTTTAATTGATAATTATGATGTGATTGAACTATGACTTTGTTCAAACATTTTGTATTTACTTTTTAACACTTTTGTGTAAGTCATATTTTAATTTCTTTAAGCAATAAATGTCTTAAGTGATTTCATTATGCAAATCCATGAATATAATTCAGAAAATCAGAAATTAAAACAACATATCTTTTTAATTGGCTTTTGAAATATGTTATTAATGCAATTTAGTATTACTATGTTTGCATATAATAAATATCCAAACAAATATCAACTTTTTTAGCAAAGCAGGAATCATTTTACAAAAGTGTCCCAATTCTTTTTACACATTTTATATTTAACAAATTTAAAACATTTAGAAAAATCATACCTATACAGGGAAAGGCACAATTGTAATGAAAGAGCAATAATTTAATTGCCAATAAGAAATTAGCACACACTAACAAGTGTTTTCACACCTGCATAGATAAAAAAGGTGATCATTAACTGGTCATTAAACATGTCACCTGTTGAGATTATGTTTTAATATACATTAAAATACACAGAAAGTTGACACTTAAAATTGCTGTCCGGTTTTCAGAGGATTTTTTATGCATGTTTAGCATTAGAAACCATAGAAAATCGTCCGGTTTTCAGAATTCAGAGGTTCCGGTATTCAGAGGATTTTTTTTCAATGAACATATAAGAAGAAAATACGGGACTTTTGAAATGGTCCGGTTTTCAGAGGATTCCGGTTTTCAGAGGGTCCGGTTTTCAGAGTTTTTACTGTATTAGTTCATTCCTTACTAACTATAGGACAACCAAGAATAGTTTAAATACAATTCTAACACAACCCGCATTTTTCCCTATTGAACATAGAAGAACTGAAAGTGTGTGTTATCATGCTATAAAATCACTGTTTGACGTTCTATATTTAGACATGTGACGGTAATCATTATAAACGTGACGTAACCACTAAAAATGTGACGCGCTGACAATAAGTACGGACACAAATCAGGCGCAATTTAGCTAATTATCATGCACGGGCAGCATTTATTTGTTGATGTCGTGTTAGAATCGAAATAATATATCCAAATCGGTGATTTTATTGCTTGATAACATCACTGTTTGTCGTTCGGATGCGCATCATTATATCACTCGGGCTACGCCCTCGTGATATAATTCCCCGTATCCGAACTCCAAACAGTGATGTTATTGAGCAATAAAATCACAGTTTGGGATATATTATTTCTTAATCGTCAATGTATATCAATTTGCTAAACAGACAGCATCTTAAAGTTCATGATGTAAACTAACTTGTCAAAGGAATCAAAATTGAAGGAAGTCAACCACGAGAAAGGAGTCAAAAAAGATAAAATATTCCATCAAGACACTTTCCACCAAAAAAAAAATAATTCTGGATAGGTGCGCAATTTTGTTTGTAATTCCAGACCGCCTCGTCTTGAGTCAGGGTCCGCCCTGTCCCAAAATATGGTCCGCCCCATCCAAACATACGGTCCACCCTGTCTCACGGTCCGCCCTGTCCGTAATTCATAACAATATAACACAAATCCATTTTTTTCCATTTTTATCTTTTCTTTATTTTGATATTAAATGAACATGATTAAACAAATAATTATGTCAAATCAAAAATTACATATCAATCAATACATATTACATATCAAGATCAAAATTTCTCTTGTGTTTTCTTTTAAATGATAACTTATAATTCGACTAACACCTTTGTATCACTCATTCGCATAGCCTAATTAATTTGGCGTGAACGGTTTGACCCATTTTACAGACTTTTTTTTCTTACTGTCAAACCGTTGGAAAAAGACAGCGCCCGTCCAAAATTATCTCGGTGTCTCTTTTACAAGTCTAATTAGTTGGACTATCATTCCGAATCATTAGAGAGGGTATCATGTTGCCCTAAGCCGCTTGATAATTGCAAAGGCCGGTGTAAACAATGTCTTTGACGTCACACCGTATACAGATCAAGATCAAGATTCACATTAAAGTTTTGACTGCAAATTGCATATAAGAAACTAAGGTCGTAAGGGAAGTAACTCATACTATCTGAACCCCATCTGCGAATTATGATGAACGATGATTGGCGTGATTATGACAAGTAAGAGTTTCAACAATATTATTTTATCACAAAACGTCAAAAGACTGTCTATGCGCAATTGGCGCAAAGATATAAACTGATAAAGATGTTAGCTTTAATCTTGTAAAAACAAACCTTTTAACATAATTAGAGCTGTCATCGATATCGACAATATCGATGTATCGTTGATATTTTTTTGTCGATCAATAATCGATACACATTTTTAAAAATCGATGCTTTTGACTTATAAATTAAATGTCTAGAAATTATAAAATTCACCCAAAATATATGCAAAAACAATTATTTATATCAAATGTGTATGCTTTTTGTTATATAGTGGAATTATTTCATAGCAATGGTGACAAAAAATATTGTATAGAAAAAGATCATGCAGTGGACAAGACACTGTACAGAACATGTTTTTGACTGAAATCATTGAAACAGGTATGAAAATGGATGACAAGACAAGTGAGTATAGGAATATTTATCGATATATCGGTGTATCGTTGATTTTAGTTACTTGATATCGATATATCGTTGATATGCTTTGCACTGAATCAATGACAGCTCTAAACATAATAACAAAAATATAACAAAATAACCATACCAAGACTTCTGAAACCCTTTGGTCACATATCCTCGATGATATCTAACACTGTATTCCCTTTCATACTCGTCTAGTTGAAAACATCGGCTGGCGCATTTTTCCGGAATGTTTTTGATGAAATTCGTTGCTGTTCAGACGGTTTACGGCAGATGATTTGTTAAACGGGCAAATGAAAATCTGTATAGCACTTTCGCTTATATATATCTGTCTATATTATGTGTCTCTCCACGGTTACACATTTAAACGGATCCGTTTCGATTTTATTTATTAACGTTCATGATTTTTTTAATGTTTAATCGAAATGACAAGGGCTCATCTGGAAGGGCGATTCAGGCAAAAACTTTGCCAATAATCTTAATTCCCAAAGAGTAATTATTTGTGGCGAATGTTAAAGAGCAAGAGATTGTATCCGCCCCTTGATGACTTGGAGACTGCATAAATTGATAAACTCTCCTTCCGCGAATTCAAGAAGCCAGTCGCTTTAACTAACTACCCTTATACTGCTAATGAGCGAGTAAACACCGGGAGTAGAACCCCGCCTTACTCTAAACAGTAAATAACGAGAGCATCGGCCCCGAAACTGGTATATATTGTGTGACCGTTTTGCGAGTTTAATATGTGGATTAGGCGAATAATTATACATTTGTTTTTTCCCAATTAATCTAAACAAGTGCAATATTCCCTAAATTGATATACACAATGCACCTCGATAAATGGTGTTTAACCCGAGTAAAGGCGAGGTGCATATGAGTTTTCGCACGGCATTCAAAAAACTGTTGTCCAATTAAAAATGGATTAATTTAAATTAAATGATCAGCCGACTGGATTAAATTTGTTAATCATAGCTTTGAATGATTTTCAGTCCGTTAACATCAATATCTCGTTACTGTAAAAATGTTATGTCGACTCACATCATGGCTACAGGGCGAAATGCCCAAACCTAGCAGTAAAAGAAAGTTAGATGAAGATTCTGATACACCTACGTGGAAAATTTAAGAAAGACCAATTCGCAAAAATCAGTTTGATTGGTATGTTGTAGACAGTGCTTACGCACGTAGGCAAGACATCCCGGCTAAAAACTACGAATCATGATGTAACTTGTAAATACGAAATACATGTATATAACAAAAAATTTGTCAGGAAAGAAGTGTTCTTTTTGTTCAATCAATAAATATACTTTTGTTTAAATGTCATAAATATGAGGCTCAGATTAAGATTTATCAATATTGTAAATTTCAAAAAGCAATTATTTATGAAGATATTACCCGAATTTGACATTTCATGAAAATAAAGGGAGGTCATTAGAAATTTATTCATATTTGTAGCTCAAAAAACATTTAGATGCATTGCCAGATCTACTATTAATTAATAAAGTGACTGTAGAAATATTATAAGTGTTGTTAATTGTGTTTATATATATAGTTAAAGGATTGTATAGCCATGCATGTTAATGCATACATATTGGGTTGTTTTCACTTCTCCCTAATTTTCGCGAGGAAGTCCCTTCTCCCTAAAAATTTCCCCCCAGGATGAGCCCTGATGACCATATTGTCTTACAAAATATCTTAATCATAATTGCCTGTAATCATAGATTTTATCAACTCTAATTGGTTTCCAAAGTAAAAATACAGAAAAAAAGGGGTTTACAACCGTCCACACAAGATTACTGTACAATTATCGCTCATGACATAAAACATTTTTGGTAAAGTTGATTTCCTTTGATCTTTCAAAAGAGCGAAATGGGGATACAATGCAGAAAATGTTTGCAGACTCAATCGTGATGAGCCCTGAACATTATTTGTACATGTATTAAAGATAGAAAGTAATGTGGTGTAGTATAGTACATAGAAGTACCACCGTTTAAACAGCATCGTTTCGGTTCTTTTCAATCGTGTTAACGTTTACAAAAATAGTAAACGTGGGAGCCTAAGCAGGCATCTGTGAATCCGAGCAGTCTGATCAGGATCCATGCTGTTCGCTATCAGTTTCTCTACTTGTAATAGAGTTGGTAAGCGAACAGCCAGTGATTTTTCTCACTTAATTGGGAAGAGGCCTTAGCCTCTTGATTTTGGGAAAAAATATCGATTAAATTGCTTATTTGGGAAGAAAAAAGCAGGTTTAAGTTAAGATTTTTGGGAAAACTGCATGATTTTAAAGAAATATTCAATTGGGAAGAGGCCCTTTTTCGGAGTCTGTTAATTAAGTAGGAAAATCACTGACAGCATAGATCCTGATCAGACTGAGCGGATGCGCAGGCTGGTCTGGATCCATGTTGGTCACAAACACACTATGTTGGTTTTGTTGTGACGCGGCTCATATCATAACAATATATTTTATTCAACATAAAATGACTCGTCAATGCACCCATATAATTTTACAGTCACTATCACTGTCATGTACCTCATGGTGCTAACAGCTCTCAGCTTATCCACATGTTAGCTGTACATACTAGATTGACCTAAAAACATTTATTTGAATATACTATGTACTTTAACATACGATTGCCAAAGGGCTGTTTAGAATCCCATCGAGTGAAATACTGTTTACCGAACGCGTTGGCACGGCCTCTGTTTTCTTCCCCTTTTTACACCATCGTTTTTTATCACATAATGTTTATACCTAGATCCATTATACACCGTGAAAATAAATGTTATACCCTACGTGAAATACTTAGTACCTCAATATTAAGCATGACATTTTTTGGTAACTCGAGTTTTTGTTTCTTCACACTTATCCTTTATTCTTCTCTGTGGTTCCTCCTATTTTCGTCAGCTTATTTGTATGGTTCTTTCTTAGTTAGCTGCTCCAGTGTGATAAATGTGGGTATGTTAAGTAATTGTTCTCACCCAGTGAAATACTGTTAACCAACCGCACAACGTGAAATACTGTTACCCAACGTGAAATACTGTTATTACACACCGTGAAATAACTGTTACCGTTTTCACGTGAAATACTGTTTCCAATAAGGTTTTCAGGTTTACATTGTATACGTCAAACAAATATGTATTATTGGTTAGATAACGTAGAAATAGTCTCCAGTATATCGTCACAAGTAGAAAATAAATGTTATATTATTAGTGGTATACATCAGTGGAAATAGTAAAAACTGGTTTACCCAGATGACTGAATGCTTGTATCATTATAGTATTTTTTATTTATGATAATGAATTTAATTATATCTCAATACTAATCTTTGCTCAGATTTGATTTTGTCTGTCTGCCTATAGTAGACGGCCACGTTCCCTCTAGAAGAGATGCATTCAAGAACACCAGTTGGAAACTGGTTTACCTGCAAAGACCAGACCAGGGGCATTAACTACGTGAAATACTGTTATCAACACAGTGGAATATCTGATTCACCTCAGATCTCTGTTTAAGCGAGTGTTGCGACTGAGGCGTCTCATTGTAAGGAAAACACATCGCCGATGCGCTACAGTTCAGACATTCAGATGTGCCGATATCAGAGAAAAGATGCTGAAACGGTATTTTGCAGTGTAATACACTCGAAGCTATGAAAATACTTTAAGCATCATGGATTCTATACCCACGACCTGTGCGATATCATTGTTACATCGCACACGGTAAAATTACCTGGGTTTACTTGTAAGCATTTGTAATGAAAAATTTTTACCTATGAATGATTATTATATGTTTTATTCATGTGAATACTCTGTATCAAGCACTACTTAAATTACTGTAACTTAATTACATCCGGAAAAAATACTTTAGTTGCCATACATGTACTGGGATTGAGGCAAAAAGGGGATCTGCGCAGAGTCTATACTCATAGACTCTATGGTCGTAACTACAATTGAAGAGCAAAAGCCAACTAATCAATTTTCTTTAACAGGACAAAATGAAACATTTTAACATATATCATACGTAAATCCCAAATCGTGTATTACACATTGCATTAGATTGCTTCCTTAACATTGCAAAAAACTTTAAAATATTAAAAAGTGTTGTCGACCACAGAAAAAAATAGAAAAGGATTGTTTATTATAATGATAAAACAACTTTTTAAACATGTGTTTTTGTACAAAAATTAATTTTATAGAGTAACGCATATATTTTCATCAAAACTAAAAAGTACTGTGTAGTTATTAATGTTAACTACGTTTTACATTTGAAGTGATTCACAATCGGATTAATTAGGTCGTGGTATAATAATTTTGAAAATAAACAGAGACTTTGTTGCGACATTTGAATAAGGTTAAGTTATATTGTAAAATTATGTTACTGTTTATTTGTACTCTTTTATATCATATCTTCTTTTGTTAGATGCATTACATATCCTGGTATGTATGAATCCATTGATAACAACAAGAACTGCATTACCACACTCTATTATATTTCACTGTAAGGATGGATGATAATAAGTAGTATTGTCTATCCTACGAGTTCCACGATGTCTAACCGTTTTTATATTGCCATCTTTTATATTTTTTGGTTTAACCATGTACTGGTCATCGGTTAAATAAATTATCTACGCTTTAGCACTTTGTGGGAACGATAGTCCACATCAAATAACGGATTCAAAACTTTTTCGTATAACATTTAATATTTGATATACTTTATGTCACTCAAAAATATTCTTTGAAGTGTCAATTCTGCAGACATTAAATGGAACTATTAAAAAAATAAACGTGCAGCGTTATGGCAATCTTTAAATGCATCTTTTTTTCAGACCCTGTGTGCAAACCTTGTGTTTGTGAGCATATAGGTAATATTTCCCGTAATATACTAGCATCGAGTAGAAAGATACTAACAAAAGTAACCCGAAGATTAGCAAAATAAATACAATTAAAATGATACCTACTCTCTTAAAAATGAATATGCGAATCTTAGGAGGAATGCCCCAAACCAGTTTTGCACCAAAGAATAAATCATTTTTTGTAAGACACCGCTGTCCGCTTGTGATCAAAAGATCGGTTTGCAATTCGGGACTTTGTTATCTAGGCTTTAAATAACAAATAGCAAAAAATTAGTTATAAATAGGAAAGTACCATTTTCTTCCGTCATTTTCCTACTTCTGAAAAAATATGCAAAATCTTTTACAATACAATATAGCAACAGTATTTTAATATAATTGTGAA